CTTTCTTCTTTACTGGCGTTATGTAAATGTACGTAGATAAAACTATTGCTATGAACGGATGTAGATATGTCAACACTTTCCCTCTTGGCATTCCAGTTCCATTGGTAATGATAATAAACATGTTATTGCCTAGCACATGACATCGAGAAAATCATAAATTAATAAGAATCATATAATCAAGAGGTCTTAATTTTCCCAGTCTTTATTTTCGAGGTCTTAGATCTCTGTTCATTTGTTGTTGTGACCACACCACCGGAAGTACAGTACATTATTAAACTAATTATTAACCATATATGGATATCAGACAGTTGAGACGAAAAAAGAATAGATAAGCACAAAGTATAGGGGTGTGTAGAATCCGAACAACTACGAACAAGAAAGTAGTTTACAGACATGCAGGCAAGTCTTCTATGAAAAATTATTTTCATCTTTGAACTTTGATTCCAGCAACTAGGCCACCCCAGTTATGAGTGTTATATGGAGAAATTTACATCCGGCAAGCGAGCTAGATCTTGCCACTCTCAATGAGATCTGGCAACCAGATCAGCCGTTTTGTCCATTTTACTTTAAATTTACAGAACACAGCAAGATATGGCTTACCGGTCTGTCTCGCTCAACGGGTTATATAGTATAGCCCGGCTTCCACATAAGCTAACTAATCTATGATCTATGGTAATCTAACGTGGTCTGAGATTCCGTCATACACAATCTAATTAAGTTTCGAAGAGTTTTTTAACTAAACACATTTGATACTTTCGCTCTACATCATTCATTCTCAAGAAAATTGATACACGCCTGTAAAGATAACAATACCAATTATTTGTTTGTTCTTCAACTGGATTGTTAGTCGGTGGGGCCACCTGTGGTGCCCACCGTCTCTAGGTTTGCCCTTTGGTACGCCACAAAATGACAAAATGACAAATTACGTTATTTTAATTACGTAATTCTTACGAAATCAAAATCAAAATGGCGACCATGGAATAGCGTGCTTTTGAGCAAAAGTTCGCTATTGAATATTTGGTCCAGTCCGAGTCGTGTCTTTTCTTTTGGGGTTTTTGAAAGAAATATATTAAGAATTCACTAAACGTTATCACGACGTTTCACTGTTATGTTATCGAGGAGGGAAGTGGATAATTGGTACATAATTTTATATATTTAAAGTTTGTATCGCGCGGCGGAGATTTCGGGCGTGCAATTTTGATGCTTTCTATATATTTACTATTGAATTTTCGAAATCTCCGAAACTAACTCTCCTCTCACGAGGCATTTATTGTATTAAACAACAGACAGACGTTATAATGCGTCTAGTTTCGAGGCGAAGAATATTCTTGCCTTCCAGCCTTCGATGCACTAACTAGCTCGGTTTTAACTTGGCCAGTTGGTAACATAACACCAGCTGATCTGCATGTGTAATGACAACAGGATAAACGCTTATAATTTTAACACATATTATACACTATAGTACTATACTGTATACATGACTATTAAAACAACATTGCTACATGGTTGTACTTGTTTTAACTATATTTATAGCGCTAACTACCAGGCTAACTGCAAACTTCAAGAATCAATAGACAATGTTTTCGGAAAAACAAACGCGCTCTTCTTTAATTAGTCCTTTGTTTGTACTTAAAGTTGCATATTTCCAATCGCCCCAGCGACTTAACGCTCCGTGGGGCGTATTGTTCTAGTTAAATTGGTATACGCTCTTCATATATTTGAAATGCAGTACAATATATAGCTGAATTTAAATTGCTCATGCAAAGTATACTAAATGATTACAGATTTACTACAATTTTTTGATGTCATACTAATAGTTGGGGTGTAAATGAAAATGATCAAAGATGTTAGCTTTGATATTATTTCCTTCCATAACTAGAAAAACTAATTTCCCCTACGGAAAATTTTCAAAAGCTTAGTGCAGTACTTTTGACACCGAATACACTACTACGCCTCCGCCATTCCTTCCTGTTCCAAACTAAAGAAAACTAACTTCCTTTTTTCCGGACATTCAAAAAAAAGGTCAAAAATATTTTCCGGACATTAAAAAAAAAGGTCTAAAATTTTTTCCGGACTAACATCAGTTAGGTAAAGATTCAAAAAAAATTTTTCGCACAAATCTTCTTAATTAAATTACATTGGTAAACACTTTTTGGGACCAATATCTGAAAAATTTAGGTTTAGGAAATTTTTTCTCAGCCCAAAAAACATTCCAAATTATTTTTTTTATTTTCAACTTTGGGGGCCCCCTTACACTGGGGGCCCGGGGGAAATTTCCCCCTCTGCCCCCTCTCTCCGATAGGCCCTGGTAATTACTATTCGTTGAACATAATAGAACATAATATCGTTCAACATAAAAGTTTTATACAACTGGCCCCAGAAGTAGAGTACATAATTAAACTAACTATTAAGGTCAAGAAACACTGGACGCCATTCGACAACGCGGCGCCATTTCTCAATTTTCACAGACCGATAACATGGATCCTGGTTTAAGTTTTCCAAATACTTAGAAGTGCTATGACATTTTAAGTTATTTGCTCTACATATATTTTAAAATTCCCTTTCATTGGCTGGTTTATTAACTTTCAAAAACTGAAAAATGGCGCCACGTTGTCGAATTGCGTCTGGTGTGTCTCGGCCTTAAACCATATATGGATATCAGATAATTGAGACCGAAAACGAACAGATAAGCATAAAATATTGGGGCCGTAGAATACGAACAAGGACAAAGTAGTCACAGACATGCAAGCAAGTTTTCTGTGAAAAGTTTTGATATGAAAATTTTATTCACTCGTCTGTGACTGTATACTAGGCAATTTTGCGAAATTCTTCAACGACAAGTTTACTAATTCAAAAGCTAGCAAACTAGCTCTTATCAATTGTTTTTAATCAATTTTAGGATTGTATTAGGATTGTACTGGCACGAAGGCCTTTATTTAAAGCTATTAGAAAATGGAATTGGAGGACGCTTCTATGATCTGATAAAGGATTTGTACTCAAATACTAATTGTGCTGTCAAAATATCAGGACATAGAACGCCCTTCTTTTCTTACAATAGAGGGGTACGCCAGGGCTGTGTTTTAAGCCCCCTCCTTTTCAACTTATTTATTAATGAACTTCCCAAATTGCTCGAAAAAGCAAACTCGGACCCATTTCTATTACTAAACGGAACGAGACCAAGTTGTCTTCTATATGCTGATGATCTTGTCATATTATCAAGATCGGAATCGTCTCCAAAAATATGTCTAGATTCTCACAATGAATGGAGCAAAAAATGATTAATGAATATAAACTTGAAAAAACTAAGGTTATGATCCTACAAAAACATAATTGCAAACTACAAAGACTTAACTTCTTCTTGGGAAATAAGCGCATTGATATTACAAATGAATACACTTATCTTGGCCTAAAACTCACTCCAAACACTTTCACAAATTAACTCCAAAGCTTGCCATGAAAATATTTGATGGCATAGTCTCTCCAATCTTACTCTATAACTCTGAGGTTTGGGGTTTCATTAAATGGGACAAGACCTCAACAGAAAAAAAAACAAACACACCTAAAATTTTGTAAAATTTATTTGGGTGTAAATAGGAAAGCGAGCAACGTCGCTACCAGGGGTGAACTAGATAAATTCCCTCTGTTAATCCCCATAATGAAAAGACTCTTTTCTTACATCAAACACATTAGTCAACTACCAGATTCAAGTATAGAGAAACAATGCTTTACCTTTCAAAAAAACTTTACTTAAACGGTAAAGACTCATTTTACTCTAATGCCGCTAACATCATCAAAAACGTCAGTCGATCCTAATATCGAAGAAACAATAGATATTGAAAAATTTGTACAAGATATAAACATAACAGATTTCGTAAAAACTATTAAAGATAAATATACATCATTTTGGAAACATCAAATTGAAAACTCTTCAAAACTCTCATTTTATTCCACATTTAAGAAAGATTGTAACTTAGAAGAATACTTAAATAACATCAAAGATCCGAACCAAAGAAGAATGTTCTCAAAATTCAGTGTAAATAACCACAAACTAGAAATTGAGTTCGGTCGCTATAAAAACGTACCTAGAGAAGAGAGATTTTGTAAATACTGCGACAAACGTACAGTTGAAGACGAATTTCACTTTGCATTCGAATGTAATAAATACTAGAATTTGCGAAATAGCTCGCACAACATCCTGAAAGACTATTTCCAAATGAATATCACTGATGAATTAAAGAGAAAATTATTAAATGATGTCATTGAATGTCATTGAATGACCCTGTGATAACCGATCCATTTTCCAAGCATATTTCGAAATGTTCTTATAGTCCCTAAACCAGAAATCAGAAATTTCTATATATTATATTACTCTACCTTCCCTTTTCTATTACACTCTTTCTAATCCTTTCTATTCTTAAATTTTGATATTTGTATTTGCCATATATCCTTCCTATTTGATATATAATTCATGTAAATATAGCAGTATGTATATTGTTTTTCGTTAGTTAAGTAATTTTTATACTATAGTTAACTTTATTCTTACAATTACGCTATAGCAATACCTGCATGTAATTAGGTCATGCAAATAAAGCTTATTAAAAACCATTGTTGATATTAAATCCTGATCTCTAATTGAATATGGGAATTAAGGAATATGTATGACACGGTTTGAATCGTCCATAAAGCTTTGTCCATCTTTTTGTTGCATGTATGTATGTTTTAAAGGGCTAGTGAATACTGCACTAGAATTTTGAACATTGGCCTCTCCTGAGTTCTGATGATGGCAAAATTTATAAATTTATTTTTTTGTATACACAATAATGAATAATGACAATGGACCGGCCGGTTACATATACATTCATGAGGACAACATTTCTAAAGCATGCCCACCATCAGTTGCGCCGTATTTTACGCTTACAATTAATTGCAACTCACCAATAAATATTTAATACTGTGAAGCGAAAATCGCTTAGTCGTACATTCACAAGCGCGACAATGAAGTTAACTACATCAATTTTAATCATCGTTTGATTAAGTATTCGTACTTTATAATATACTTTAGATAGTACAGTGAGAGATGCAACATATCAGATGTGGTTTTTGATAAGCAGACATTGCCAGACAAAAAATCATCCAAGATAACTGAACTTCAAGAGTCGTATACGTAACGGTTTGATTTCTGATTCAGTAATTAAAAAGTAATACTTTGTTCAAACATATATATCTCGGTTTAAAAGTATATGTAGATGGTTGCCAACACAATTTAGTTGTTTGTGACAAAACCATTGCTATGAACGGATGTAGATATGTCAACATTTCCCCACTTGGCATTCCAGTTCCGTTGGTAATGATAATAAACATAGGCTACTATTGCCTAGCACATCAGATCCAGAAATTCATAAATTACTGATAAGAATCATAGAATTAAGAGTTCTTAGTTTTCGTGGTCTTTGTTTTTTGAGATATTAGTTTTTTAATTGTAGTAATCACGCGTCACCGTGCAGAAGTATATACAGCTACATAATGAAACTATAACTATTAAATTAGCCAAATATACAGTATATGGACATTAGACAGACAGTTGAGACCAAAAACCAACAGATAAACATAAAATATAGGGGCACGAACAAGAAAGTATTATAAAGCCAGTAATAGCCATTCAAGCAATTGTTCCATAAAAAGTGTTGATATGACAAGTTTTATTCACTCGTCTTTATTAGCAATTTTTCTAATTTAATTGTTTTATGACATGAATTTACTTGTTCAAAAGCTAGCATATACTATAACTTTTATCGGTTGTTTTGACTCCGAACAACTATTATAGTTATATTAAATCCCGATATCTGGAATATGCATTTATGATGTTTTTGATGTTACTCTGAGTGTATATCCACACCGGGCAGGTTGAAAAGTTAGCCTGACCACGGTGGGAATCGAACCCGCAATCTTTGGAATACTAGTGCAATACTCTGTGTTCGAGTGTGTGGTATTTCGGAACTAAGTCTTCGATACCAATGTGTAGTTATGTTCGTGATATTTTTGTGTGTGTTTTGATGTTATGTACTCAGGTGAATATAACGTTTTTGATGTTACTCTGAGTGTGTATCGACAACGGGCAGGCTGAAAAGGTAGCCTGACCACGGTGGGAATCGAACCCGCGACCTTTGGGATACTAGTCCAATCCTCTGCCAACTATACGAGGTCAAGTTGGTTCGAGTGTGTGGTGAGTATTCCAAAGGTCGCGGGTTCGATTCCCACCGTGGTCAGGCTAACTTTTCAGCCTGCCTGGTGTAGGTATACACTCAGAGTAACATCAAAAACATTATATTCACCTGAGTGCATAACATCAAAACACACACAAAAAATATCATGCATTTATGTCCTTTATAAACGTACAAAGTTGTGCTTCAGTAGCATTATATGAATTTTGTGTATTTGAGTGAGGCCAAAAGCTACTGTCGAAAGTAAAGCCTAACTTAGGCGGGAAATTTTAATACAAAAACAGGACTGGTCTATAATTTTTTAAACTTTTTATATTTTTATAGTTTTTATATTAAAATTTGCCGCCTAAGTTAATCATGCAGGCTTTACTTTCGACAGTAGATTTTGGCCTCACCCGATCGAATACACAACATGTTCTTAAACGTTAATCGGTATTTATGTAAATGTTTGTGCTAGAGAATACTGCGAGAATTTTGAACATTGGATAGAAACCCGAACAAATCATCTAGTAGGAACCGAAGGTCAACCAACTGCTGCATGAGAAGACAAAACGTTTGTCATGAGCCCTGGTGTGCGTATACAGGGTGTATCAAAATAAACGCAATTCATCTTTTGTGCTTAATAACTTTCGAAATACTATTTCTAGTTAAACGCTTTTAGGCTTACTTCAAAGCCTGCTCTTTTCTCTTTCAAACAAACTATTATCCTTGTCTCCAATGCTAGTAATAATTGCACAGGAAAAGATTTAGTAAAACCTATCATTTTTAGTTGCTGTTTAATTATGCAAGTTTACTATGTTATTGTTTAGTCGATTTAAATGTTAGAATTTTCTTCTTTAAACTTCAATGTTGTCGTCACTACATCTGGAAAACCACGTAAGAACAAATTAAAAGTATTTTAAAAGAGACCAGGTTGTTTGAAAATCCTAAACGAATGCTAAAATCGTCAAAACATTCTGGTGTCTGAGCCAGAGTGTCATCGAATTGCGATGTAATGTAAACAGAAATTATAGCAAGTTGATGTCAGTCAGCTTAGATGGTCCAAGCCAAAATTATATCGCATTTGAAGTTTCAAACTGAGTAAAAAATAAGAAAAGCCGTAACTATACTTATTGTTGCAATCCATTTAATAAAATGCAACATCTTTTTGTTTTAATGAAAAAACAGTTATTTTCATGAGAACGATTTGTTATTCCATCTCAATTTTTTAATCTCCAATCGCAATAACGTAAAGTATTATTACCCGCGAACCAATGAGTCAAATTTAAGAAACAACCCACTGTTAGAAAGCTGAATGGCTACGCTTTAAAATGAATGTAAACTTTAACGTTTTCGTCTATTATTTGTTTAGCAATTTACATTTCAGTCGAGGATTGCGCTTTTTTTGATACACCCTGTAGAGCTGAACCACAACACTATGCTTCTTACTCAAACATCCCAGAAAGATTATGAAGATCTGTGCCGTTTTGATGTGTTAGGACTCGCAGATACAGCTAAGCATGATCAATCTATGGTCTACAATACGTGAGTTCAATGAACAATTGACTAGATCTCCTTCGGGCTGGTATGAGACGGGTCTTTCTTGGCGCGGAAACCACCCACAACTACCATCAATGAAATCGGAAAAATGAAATCTTTGCAACGTCGCCTGCAACGAAAGGACTTTATCGAAGACTACAACACAGTGATCGAACAGCAGAAACAACAAGGAATTGTGGAACCAGCCAATAACGAAGTCGCAGGTAATATAGGTATAGAATTCTACATACCCCATAAGGAAGTTGTACGAAAGTCGGCACAGTCAACAAAGCTGCGACTTGTGTATGATGCCACCGCGAAAGCCTCTTCTGTAAGCCCATTACTTTGCAGCCGATTCATTTTACTAAGCCAAACTCAAACGGTATATTCATTGATTTTGATAAGCATTTACAGATTAATTTTTATTTGTTCAGTTGTATCATGTCGAAGCAGTTAGGTAGCTATTTATTGAAACTGTTTATTCAGCCTGGCTTCACAAGACTGGTTGGAAGTTAGTGCGCGATTCTATTCAATGTATTTACAGCAACTAAACACTGGGCTTCTCGCAAACTGTATCTCCATTCAATCGCTGAATATTGATATAATAGCTTCGTAATATGCGGTTTCCAAACCGGCATATTTAATGAACAGATGTATAAAATCTCTTGTACGGAGTTATAGTAAATAATAGTCAGTCAGTCAGTCAGTCAGTCAGTCAAATCTTTATTTAAGCGCGGTATAGCTTCATCAGGTTTACAAAAATAGTTATCTACATTAATAAGTTTAAAATTTTTGTTCAAGCCTACTTTACATTCATATTTATACCTGTTTTCCATGAATGCCGTGTCTGTCGAATATGATGTTTCAACAATTGTCGAAATTCAGTAAGAGATTCCGCTTGTCTTATATTGCTAGGTAAGCTGTTCCATAACACTGCACCACTATAGCTAAAGCTATTTTTAAGATAATTAGTGTGGGGTAAAGGAGCAGCAAGTTTGTTCACGAAGTCTCGAAGCATAAGAGTTACCTTATTGCGATAAGTAAATTTAGAACATAGATAGCCTATTAGGGTGCAAGGTTATTTAAAGATTTGAAAACTATTAACGTTTTTTTTAATTTGGCGTTGTTGGTTTAGATCATTCCACCCTAGCTTTTCTAATAAGCTATTGGCATCGTTTAGAAATTGCTTAGGTGGGTGGTGGGTTATTTTATTTGTAAACATAGTAGTTTTAAAGTTTTTACAAGTTCTAGTATTGTATTAGCTTAATTGTAGTTATGTAAGGAGGACCACGAATTTATCAGTAGTTCACGCTTACTGTCAAGTGTTTACCCTCATGAAATAAAGTCTGACTGAATCGGCGTCAAAGTTGGAAAAGGTCAACACCCGCATTGCACGGTTTTGAAGTTTTTGAAGTTTGTTAGATAAAGT